CCCCCCCCCCCCCGCCTCCTTATTTCCATAACATAGCTGAAGGTATTCTGTATTTTGCAGAGGTGACCTGGGCAGCAAAATAAGACTACTTAAAGTGATATTTAAGTCAAGAGTAAAGCTCTTTCAAAGGCTCTGTAAATCACTTACAATGAATTATGCTCCTTGATGTTTAAAAGTTTTAGTTTCCTGTAGATTCAGTTGATCCTCTGAGGCCTAGGCCTAATATTCTGTATTAGGGTTGCTCCTTTCCCTTGCAGAGTCCTATGGAGCCACCCTTATGTTTGCTAGTAAGCCATGTGGGTCTCCACAAACACAGCAGGACAAGCCACTCTCCTGCTCCTCAATCCTCCCTCCTGCAAGCTAGTAAATGGGCAGTTGCTGGAGACTGTGTTGGCCCTTGTGATCTTGTACTGGACAGGAAGGTCAGGTAAACCAAGCTGAGCGAGTTGGAGGCAGCTGTTTGAAATGTAAAGAACTTCTTTGCTTGCTAATATTTGAAAAAAGGTTGAAAGTTTTATACTACTTTAAGATAACACTGCAGATTGCCCGGGGCACGGGACAGCACTGGATTTTTGCATTTGTCAAGCAGATGTAACAAAACAAACCCCATTAATTGTATGTTTGACTGACCAAATAGGAGAAGTCCCCTGTTAGGGATTCCATACACTTTACCTTCTGTCCAGGAAGCTAAGGTCCTAGTATCCCCTTACCATGGGCATGGTTATGGGGAAGCAAAGAAGGTGCCTTGCTAAGCCTCTAGTGAATTTCACTTTAGAAAATATACAGAACATTTGCAAGGAAGGTTGGCATTTGAGGTTTTGCTAATTAATAATCATAAAACAAGTTGTTGTTTTTTTTCTCTATGCTCAGGTCCTGCCTGTCATTGTGGAGCAGTTTGAATGGATGCCATTTGTCAACAGTAAGCTACATTTATCATTCATGAGGTTTACATATTGGACTCTATTGAAGCTTGATGCTGCTACACAGGTAAAGTTTCTTCGATTTCTCTCTGGACTGTTTAAAGCATTTTCTGTAGATTTAGGAAAACAAATATTTATTCCAGTATTTTTTAATTGACATAATAGCTGTCTGTTCTAACCATTTTATATGTTGCCTTATTATCTAATGATTTCTAAGGATTCGTTGTTTCTAACTACTCTTCTCCCTTTCTTATGGCCGCAGTCCACCTTGACCTCCACTCTACGGCGAATTGGTGATGAAACTTTTAAAGGAGTTCAGTGTAATCCCTCTGAAGATAATGGCATGGAAAGCAAGCCAAAACCTGCAGCTTTTTTCAAAAGCAATAACTTACCACTCCGTTTCATTTCAACGCTGGTCATTCTTAAAACTGTAACACAAGGTAACCATTATGGCATTTTGTGAAATAACATATGGGCAGGAGACACAATTATTTACACAATACATTTTACTGAAATTAGAGCTCAATAGATACAAAAAGGGTTAGAATCCACTGTGAGAGAGCTCTATACCAGTGCTTCTCAACCTGTGTAAGCTCGGGACCCACATTTGTTCTTGGTCGTTAAGTCACAACCCAAGTCGCACCGCACTGGAACACATGGCATTGCGTTACCCCACGTTCTGATGCGGGCGTTTGAACTGTGGGAGGGAGGAGTGTTTGGGGTGCCATTCAAATGCATGGCGACGCAACGCACCTCCTGCACCAAAACGCGCTGTAGGTGCAAGTGCATGGTAATGTGCATTAATTGCACGGGACAGTGCGATTAACGCACTGTACTAGTGTGAAAGGGCCGTCAAAAACACCGACCGACACATACAACCACATACACAATCTCACACAGATACACACTCCAAAAAATGTTTTTAATTTTTTTTTTTTTTTTAAAGATCCACCCAGTCATCCTTATCTTACGAGAACTGGAGTGGATCCTCAGCCTGGTGTCCAGTGTGGGCTGCTGTGATGGAGCTCCCTCTACATGTGCATTGCTTGTACAGCTCCCTTGCGCGCCCTGTGGAGGTGCCGTGAGCCAGAATGTGATGTCACTCTGGTTCAAGCACCTGTGCAAGGTAACTTTAAGCAATGTACATATGTATGGAGCTCCCTCGCAACCAAACTCTCAGCCCACCTCAACAAAGCGCAGTTGAAGGCAGGCGGGCGACCCACCAGTTGAGAACCGCGGCTCAATACTGACCTGTACAGCTCTCCTTGCTGCAGTCTTATTATTACATAGTATCTTATAGCGCCAACAGTTTGCGGAAGACAAATAAGGAAGACATTACAATCACAATACAATTCAAGACAAGATGGTAAGGAGCACACTGCCCCTGAGGGCTTACAATCTAAAAGAGGAAGGGGAAATGATACAATGTGATGGTTCAGTGGTTAGGTTGAGGTGGGATAGTCTTCCCTCATTTCAGCAAATTAAATGCCACCATTACATTTGCTTTCCTTTACTGTGTGATTGGCAGTTCGAAAGAATTTCAAGATACACAAACAAACAATACCATACACAATCCATATGTCAACAGTGATGTTATCTGTATTTCCTAATATACATTTCTGTCCTGTGTTCTGGGCATTTTAAATGACTGGCCCTTGGGGAACTATCAAAACATCTTTCCTAAACTGACAATACATGTTACAATCTCATTGTGAATTTTCTTTTAGATCGCTCAACAACTATTTTAGAACTAGGGCCTGCCTGATTGAATATAAATTATACATATAATTTAGTTAGCACTGCAGAACTATGTTCCCAAACACAGAAGATGGACTACAATCTCATGTTTAGTTTACTAATTTGTATTGAGATTGTAGTCCATCACAGGAGTGAGCTTGGAGCGATGACTGACTACTTGACACACACACACAGGGATCATGGGGAAGAAAAGTAGCCCCCCTCCAGAAGGAAGGGCAGTGTCAGTACGAATTTAGAGATGATTTGAGGATCCACAGCCGAGTGATACACAAATAAAGCTGCCCATACACCTTACAATTTATCTGCAGATTTTCTGTGGTCAGATGGAAAAAGTGCAACAGATTGGGCCAGGTGGAGATTACTCCATCCACACAGTTTAGCGTAGATGGAGGAATCTGTTGCACCTTTTCCATCTGACCACAGAAAATCTGCAGATAATTGTAAGGTGTATGGCCAGCTTAAGAAACATTTTTGTTAATAGTTAAGGTACTTGAATTCTTTTTTAAGATTTAACTCCTGAGTTTAGTGTCACTTTAAAGAGGACAGAGGATGACCTCCTCTACTGAAGCAAAAAGGTCAGACAGAAAGATTCAGCAATCCTGCCATAAATGAACACTCATGGTTGGGGGCCTGGAGATACACCATTTTTGTGGCACTAAGGCATTCTGAGATATCTGGTTCTGGTGGTACACTCGGTCCTGGGGCACGACCTGGCACAAGTTTTGTGGGGAGGGGGGTTCTGTTAGGTGGGGGTGTGGGATGTTTAGACTAAGTATGTACCCCTACGGTTGTAGGTGATTGTTGTTAATGTTTGTTATATGCAAAACTGAATAAAAAGTACTTTTCAAAAAAATTAAATAAATGAACACTCATGAGACCGCAGCTTATATACAGAGATGCAGTAAATTTTGTTGGACTTCTTGTAGTTAAAAAAAAAAAAAAAGTCCTACCTAATGGACCATTCCTGACATCTCCACTTCTGTAGGAGTAAGACTTATTTTAAAGTTTTTAAACAACAGCTACACAAACAGTATGCTGGTCAGCCTCATTGATATACTGAACATTGTGGAGTTTAACAAAGTTCAGTACTCCTATATAGTTCATCTCTAGCTACATACTGTGTTCTATGCAAACATGTATATATTTTGTCTGTCATATCAAAGATTTCTTATTCTACTTTCAGTGGACTACCTAGCTCAGGCCTTGGATTCCCTTTGCATGGACTTGAAATGTGATGAAGGAAGAATTTTGTTCTTGGAGTATCGGGCTGTGCCAATTGTTGTACACCTCTTACATGTCACCAACAGAGGACTTATTTCCAGCGTCCTTGATATTTTACTCCAGCTTTCAATGGAGACCCGTAAGTACCAAGTTTACTTTTACTTTAGGTTAAATCAGGACTCCAGCCTGAACTGAATCTTTGTCCCAGTTGGGGAGCTTTCTGTCCTGTGTATGCCTATTTCCATCTGACCTGCTGTCTTGTCTGTTATCATTTCTGTAAAATAAGAAAAGGTTATGGCCATGAGTAAAATGAATATGTAAAGGAAAGGCCATATACATTCAGGACTGATTCAGACCATTGCAGTTCCTTGCAGTTCTGTGTTACCTTTTCCCCCCGAAAAAAAAGCATGCAAAAGGTTTGCATTTTGTTAAAATGCACCTTTTTGAGGCTGAAATTAATTTCAAGAAGAACTCCAGGTTTTAGAAAAAATACCCCTGCACTGGAAGGGTTACCGGATTGTTTTTCTCTAGGGGCTCAATTAAGGAAGAAATACTCAATTCTCCAGCAGTGACCACTCACCTCTGCTCCAGCTGTGGTGTATCCATCAGTTTCCTCACCTCTAATACAGGTGAATGGACTGTATTAGATGTTATAATGTAAGCAGGGCTTAGACTGCCAGAGCCCTGGGGAGAAGCCTATCCCAGCCTTGTGCAGGTCTACAATCTTGTCCCTAACGTCCTTTTTCAGCTCTTTGGTCTTGCCCATGGTGGTGAGGTTTGAATGGAAGAAAGATTCTGTGGACAGGTGTCTCTTGTATACATAACGAGTTGCCGTTAGGCTCACCTTCTTAGGGTCCCCACACACCTTACGATTATCGTACGATAATCGCGGGAAATCCCGCGATCGTACGATTATCATAAGGTGTGTGGAAGCCGTGCGACCTCTACTACTGTAAGGTCGCACAACTTTAAACTTACGGACATGTTCGAAAACCCGCCGAGCATCGTACGATGTTCGGCGGGTTTGTGGCATGTCCGTACGATAACAGCCGTACGGGCCGGTGTGCGCAAGCGCACACTGCCCGTTCGGCATTGCGGTCATCGGAAGCCTGCCCCTCAGGGGGCGTGGCTTGCGATCATCGCAAGTACGATCTGCCTATGCAACATAGGCAGATCGTACGTTTTTTTAAGTACCTTACAACCATCGCAAGACAAAAGTCTTGCGATGGTTGTAAGATGTGTGCCAGGCCTTAAGGTGCCAGGCCTTATCGTACGATAATCGCGGGTGATCCCACCATCGTTCGATAATTGTAAGGTCGATGGGCAGCGTGCGACCACATTTACTGTACGATCGTACGATTTTCGCATAACGAGCGCGCTAGATGGTAGCACGATCGCAAGACGAAAACCACACGACCCGAGGTGCGCAAGCGCACACTGCCTGCTCACCACTGCAATCATCTGCAAGCCCTCCCCTCAGCGGGGAGGGCTTGCGATGATCGCAAGTACGATCTGCCTGTCGATGATGGGCAGGTCGTACGAAATTTTAATCACCTTACAACCATCGCATAACGAAAGTCGTGCGATGGTTGTTAGGAGTATGGGCAGCTTAAAATTGACAGGACTAATCTGTGTACCACATAGCCAGTCTGTGAGAGCCAGATTTATTGTTGGTAGGGGATCAAATACTTTATTTTACTCACTGAACTGCAACTCCATTTATAACATTTGTATCGTGTCTTTTCTGGATTTTTGGTTTTATATATTGTGATAAAAATTATAGACCTTTCTTTGTAAGTGGGCAAACTTACAAAAGCTGCAGGGGATCAAATCATCATTTTCCTCACTGTACTTATGTTTTGCTGAATATTTAAAGAAGATCTCCAGGAAAACGTATTAAACCTTGCGGTGGGTCTACAGAGTTAAGTGCTCGTTTTGTGTCTAGGGACAAAAATAAAGTTGTATTCGCCCAAAGTTCCGAGCCTGTCTCCTATGCTACAGCATTGGAATCTTCCTCACATCTATACACAGTGTATAGATGTTGATGATTTACGGGACCTTAGACCTCTGCAGAAGAGGGGGGAGAGACACTGGAAGGACATTTTTGGGGAAGAAGCTGGCTTGGAGCTTTGGGTGAGTATAAATTTTGAAACTAGACAAAAATGGGCACTTAACCCTTTCAGAGCAGGGGTTGCTCCCCTGCGAGGGTTAATTAAACAATTCCTGGAGTTCTTCTTCAAACAGAACTGCATATGCAAAGTGCCTGTGTTATACTGCTGAGCTGTTTATAATCAGTGGCTGGTTAAAATGACTGAACATCCCACTGTACTATCTTGTAATATACAACACTATCACCTGTTTGGCTTAAAATCATGATTGACATGAAACCTTTGATAGTAATATCAAGTTGTTAAGCGATTGTCAGCAGTGTCAGCTTACCTCTTGAACATTTACTTGCTTTTTTCAACCAGACACAAGATGGCAGCATTGATGTCACTAATGGCATTAGGCACACACAGTGCTTTTAGCATTGTAAATGTAGAATTGTATAACCTGCTTTCATCATTACACTATCCCTGTTGACTAATGGTACACACTAGAATTCATGGTAAGGAATTGTGTAGCATAGATGTATGTCCCCCTTCTTACTCCACAAGGAGCCCGTCAGTTGTGAATCATTTAACTTGCAGGCCCATGACCTTAGAGCGTAACCCTAAACTCCCCCAAAGTACATCAGGTTTTAATGTATTGCATAGCATGTTCAATATCCAGTCTATCCAGTTTTATCGTTTTCTGAACCTTTTTAAATCCAAGGTTTTTGCTTCAGTCTTTGTTCACTATCTCTCCGTCTTCATTGTAATTCCTCACCACTGTGTGGCTGACAGAATGTTAATAAAGTGGATGTAGTTTATGTAGCCATAAAAATGGGCTTTATAAATTCTAATTTAGTCTAAAAGCAGAATGTCTTCACTTGGATTAGGAAATAAAGCTGGCCTCTTTTGATGTGCAGAGGGCAATAAGCCTGCACAGTGCCATCTTGCTGCTTACCCCTTGATAGGTTTCACCAGCTGGAGATTAATGGTTATGTTATAGATTACAGGAAAACTGAACTCCGCGTGACTTTTGTAATTGCACATCATTCGTTTTTGCTGGGGTTTTTTTTTCTTTGGCACTTTATTATTCGTGTCATCTGTGTGATCTGCTGCCAGTGAAATCTAAACATTTATATATAGAAAACGTATGGGTAAAATAGAGGATACAGTTTATAAAAGAGCTTAAGTAGAGATCACCTTGTAGTGATTGTACATCCTTTTTGTTCTCTGAAGGATATCTTCTGTATGGGTGGCTGAACTAGTTAATGAAAACAGCTCCACACTAGTTAATGGAAAAAAAAAGAAATGTATTGTTTTGAAAATGAGTCATTGTTTAAAAACTCAAAATACCGTCAATTGGGAAAGTTAAATCTTTTCCCAGCGGTGGAAGATTATCTGAGCTGCTTTCCTGTACATGACCTCCCTATGTACGTACTATGCACCCACCCACCAGGAGCCGAAGTTTATAAATGTGTACAGAACTGGTAGGCTATGATAAGTATTGATTATGATTTTATTTTTTTACTTCTCTATGGTTGTGTTGCCTTAAAGACTGACTAATTCTGGCCTTTTTTAGGTCATGTGTGTGCAGTAAGTAGAACATTAAACCTGATATGCAGTAATTGGAATAGAGGTTACTTACATGATGGACGAATTGTAATTGGGCATAAAAATAAAACCACTGACTGGCAGTTTTGTGCATATTGCAGGATTTTTACAGCCATTCCTGGAGTCATGTAGCACGGAATCATTTTTTAGGACCTGTGCTGTGTTACTTAAGGATCCTAAAGTTGACGTGCAAATACTTGAAAAATTGAGTATTGTTCTACAAAAGCTGTCAAAAGTCAGGTAAGTTTCTTTAAAGAGGATGTTCCGTGTTCCTGAAAGTCAGCTGTATATGATTTTCCCTTTGAATCTGTATAAGTATAAAGAGATTAAAGTTTACAGTATGTTCTGTAGATCCCCTTTGCTTTTTCTAGTAATAGTTTTTTAATCTTTGGAGATTATTTCCCTTTTAATATATGGTTGTTTGCTATTAGGGCTGCAGCTAACAATTATTTTCATAATCGATTAGTTGCCCGATTTTTAATTTTTTCAATTAATCGATTTGTTCGTATGAAAAAATCCTCTCTCCTCCCTCTCTCCTCCTCTCTCCTCCTCTCTCCTCCCTCTCTCTCTCTTCTCTCTCCTCCCTCTCTCTCTCTTCTCTCCCCCCTCTCTCTCTCCTCCCTCTCTCCTC